CGAACTGAACAAACGTACCATACCTGACACCGAGGAGGTCCGTACCCAAGGGCGGCACACCTGACTGACTTGGGATCTGACGCTTGACAGCCACACTTCAACGGTCACCTACCACCGCCACCTGCCACCATCATCGACAGTCGCAGAGATGGCTCCGACAAAAGGGAGCAGTGGCGGTTCTGTCCAGCAGAGGGGATAACACCCGAACTAGTAGGAGACCAGAGGTAATCGTACCCGACCTGACAGAAGCTTAGGAGTGAGTGCACGAGGTGGCTATAAAAGGCTCCCTACCCCCAAGAACAAGGTACGTGAACTTTGCGCCATCTGGTTTTATCTTGCCTAAAAATTCTAACTTGAGCTTCGGAGCATTCATACCGGGTTCTCCCCGGAGCTTCCCCATCTTCTCTGTTTCAGGCTCCCAGCAGTTCCGTTCAGAGGCAAGGTCGTTGACAGCTAGGACCAGCCGGATTGCGCACCATCACCAGGTAACTAAATAACAAGGCGCCTCTTGTTTGCCTAGCCTTGCTTGGCACCTTGAAAACCATAATTCCAATCAATCCATATCTGTACCTGTAATTGCTAGAGTATCTAGTAGGAAAGATGTCAAAATCATCACAAACTAGCAACTTTTATGTTTTTATGGTTACATTGTTCAGCTAGTAGGGTTGTCAGTAGTGCATTAAAAAAGAAAATTGTTCGTGTAGTAGGGTTTTCCTATTGTTGCTGTTGAACTTGTACATGAAATGGACATTTTTTTTATGGCTTTGTTATGGTGCAGTACAAGAATGTGAGAGACCTGATTATCTGAAGAACATGCGGAAGGTTATTAATGGAAGTATGCCAGCGAGGTGTATGACAAAGAGTGCCCTCAACCTCAAGGGTAGAAATATTACAAGTCTGCGCTCCTACTGACGTAAATAGTGAGAAAGTTAGATATTATAATTGGGGAGGTGTTACAGAGGGAAAATAAGTCGTGTGGATGAGGAGTTCTCTTCTTTTAAATTCTAATGATGTATACATGATGCCATGCCAGAATCCTCTATCAATTTTGGATAAATAAAGATCCAAGTCTATCTGTAAGGCGCGTTATCCTGGCCTGTTGAAACATGAAATTATAGGGGGCGTCGTCGTGCCGTAATGTTACGGTTCCGCACAGGCTTAGCCTTGCCTACGCTTGGCAGGCTTACGTTAGGGACATGCCCGTCATTTTCGCCTGTAAGATTTTTGGGAGAACTGATGTCATCTTCAGGCAAACCACCAGAAGCTTAACGTACTCTTTGAGGAGGGGTGGTCGACCTCCTTGGGTGCCTAACCTTGGCACTCCTAGACCT